TCTTCATGCCCCTCCTCACTGCCTCTTATTGGGATGAGGAAGGAGGAGAGAATTACACCAGCTCCTCAGCCATTCCCAGCTACAGTCAAACCTCCTACAAAATATGAATCAGCTCCAGCCATGGGGACAGAAACCAGAAGATTATTTTGAGACCTGGTGCCCTGCTTCCCCCTAGGACTTGGGTGACAAATGTCTGCTTGGTGACAAGTGTTTAATTCTGGGGAAACACTATCAGCCAACCTCAAAGTGAACTTCAGGGAACTTTGCCCCTGTCTGCCTAACTATGAAACAGCCAGCCAGGGAGTTTCTCATTATGTAAGCTAAGCCTCATGCCTCCCCATTGAGAACACTGACTCCAGTACCCTCTCAGCTTCAGAGCATCAGTTCCCAGCTTTCTAGGCAATTCTGTTAGAGACTCATAAGTTTGAAGGACACAAAATATCTTTGTTCCCCTCCTCAAAAATATCCATACAGTTTGAATGTATTCTAGAGTTGTTACTTAGATAATTTTTAGTTATGCACACCTGCAATATAAATTATTTATCACCCATCCTTCAGCAGTGCTTCTCAAACTTTAATGTGCATGCCAATAATCTAGAGATCTTGTTATAATGCAGATTCCTATTCAGTAGGTCAGGGGTGGAGCCTGAGATGCATTTCTAACAAGTTCCTGAGTGACACCAATGCCACTAGACCCCAGACCGCATTCTGAGTAGCGAGGACGTAGAATTGAGTACACTAATCCTAGCATAGATTTCAGCGAGAAGCTCATGAACTGAGGTTGCCTCCAGTCTGAGAGGGAAGTAAGACACAGATAAAGAAGCAAGAACAGGATAAGAGCAACCAGGCAGAATACTAGATAGAGGTTGGGAAGTAGGTGGGTCATATAACAGAGGATGGGGCATATTAGAACATCAGGATGTCCTAAAGCAGGAGTCTAAAGTAAGGGCCAAACTGGGCTGAAGGGAAGAATGGGGAGGGGCGATCCATGCAGGATCAGGAGGGGAAGAGGTCACTTGCATGAGGGCTAGGACCCAGAATTGCCTCTCAGAGAGGGACTCTGAGCCAGGAAGTGACAGAAGCTCACTGGAGTGAGTCTGCAGGTGCCAATGGAGAAGATCTTGAAATTCAGTCAGAGGAGCTGAGATTTAAAAGAAGAAGAAATAGAGGTTCTGTGGTCAGAATGGTGCTTAAGAAGCCAAGTCAAATCATAGTGGAAGGATGTCATGGGCTAGGAGGAAGGGGGTATGGGAAGCTCATGTTTAATGGCTATGGAGTTTCTGTTTGGGAAGAAAAGAAAACTCTGGAGATGGATGGTGTTGATGGTTGCATAACAGTGTGAACATATTTAATGTCACCAAACTGCATACCTAAAAATAGTTAAAATGGTATATCTTATGTTATGTATATTTTACAATTTAAAATCGTAGTGAAGGCATAAGCACTGCTATCTAAACGTGACTAAAATCCAAGCCCACCCTAGGCTGAGAACATGCCAAAAGACGGGCCTCCTGAAATGAAAACAAACTCTGACTCAATCCCTCCCTTCCCCCTTAACTCTTCTATCATAAGATAGGTTGCTTATGTTCTTAAGGGTTTGAAAAAAAAACAACCCCATTACAAATGGGTTTCTGTTGTGCCTTTGAGCTCGACCTGTTCATCTTGAGTCATTAAGAGCCGCTCTGCCGGTGCCATACATGCGTCTGCTCACTCTGCAGCCTGCAGATGAAAGAACTGAAATGATGGGGGAAGGTAGGCTCTTAAAAGGCCCAGGCTCAGAGTCCTTGGGAACATGTTGCTGTTTTCTGGCTCCACAAGGACATTAGGGAGAAGAGGGATGAGCTGAACTGGTAGAAAACGACAACAAACTGTAAAAACAACCTACCAGCCATCAAAGTTGGAAACATTCCCAAGAAGAAAAGAGTGGCTGCCCTAGAGGCCAAGGCAGCAACGCAACAGCTCTGCCTAAAGAGGCAGGCATGGGAGACACAGAAAAAGAAGGAAAAAAGAAAGAGCAGGAAAAAAAGAGAAAGTGTATGCTTTCTCTTTAAAGAGAAGGAGCTAAAAACAATAGGATACCAGCACAATATATAAAAGTTTCTACCAGGCCCAGGCTGTGAAGACACGGGATTGCCCTAAAGTAAAGGAGGGAATCTCAAGCTAGACAACTAGAAGAAATCCCTGACAGTATTACGGGGCGCTGAGAAGGGAGATCAGGAAACCAAACACATTTGCTTGGGTCAGTCTGGAGGCAGGTAGAAGAGAAAGGAAACCCTGGAAAATCAGGCTGTTGTCTGGAAACCTGTTATGTGGATCCACCGAATGGAGAAGGAACAGACTGATACCCCATTGCCACCCATCCATCAAAGTTAGCCCAGAACAAGGACTCCAGAGACTGGGAAGAGACTGAACTTCCTATCCTGGGATCCAGAGAGTTCTCTGCCCCTGAGCAGCTTCTGTTCCTGCTTTCTGCCTCCTCCCTCAGAAGGTAATGGAGTGAATCGAGTCAGCTGCTTTTAAGTCATTAACAGGAGCAGAGCTTGATGATATTTTCTGACTCAGGCAACCTAGTCAGACTCTTCATCCCTCTTGGAAATCCATCATCTAGGATCAAGCATCACTATCGCTCTCCCATGTAATCCTCAGGCTCCTCCCGGATCATCATGCCAAATCCCTTGACCCCAATAATAATGCAAAGGAGCCGCATTGTGATGGGGGGATTTGTCCTCTGACTTATGTTTTCATACCTACGTGCTTAAGGCCTCCTTTCTGAAGTCCTCCCTCAATCTCAATTACTGCAATAAGAGGCATTTGTTTTCTTCAAGAAAATTGTTTAAAAGGGACATGGATCTCGTTGGCTATAAAGATCAAAGAATTGTTTTCTATAAATAATAAGTAAATAGAAAAGAGACTAAAGGTTGAGGCAATTCAGAGTTATTTAAAATTATCTTTTGAGCTGTTCTAGTTGTAGGAGAAAAAAAGCTCTCCTCTACTCCTAACAAGAAGTTTAGAGAGAATCCTGTCTAAGATTCACAAAGCTTTCAGAGGACTTTGACACCTGTCATTTCAACCCATCTTCAAAAACATCCTGGGATATGAGGAAAGTGGGCATTATTATGATACTCATTTTAAAAATAAAAAGTATAGGGGAGTAAATTAAAGCCCAGGGAATAATCTTAACTTCAGGAGTAACTAAGGCTAGGCATCGAGAAGAACTTGCCCTCTGCAGGAATTGTGAAACACTGGAATTCACTACTCGGGGAATGTGAGTCAATCCAACTCGTCATAGCTGAAAGAGGGCTTTGGAAAAACAAGGCCATGGGGCTTCACTTGTCACATCATATCAAAATTGCTCTAGTACTTGTGTGTCTCCCCTGCTAGACCCTAAGCTTCCGCAGAGAGCTCAGAGTCTGTGGCAGTTCACTGTTACCGCCTCAGAGCTAACTAGAGGGCCTGATGTTAAACAATTACTCAATAAATATGTGATGAAGGAAGGGGGAAGGGGGAAAGGAAAAAAGGAAGGCAGGAAAGGCTGAAGAGGGTGTGAGCAGAGGCTGAGAAGAAACTAAAGGAAGGAGAAGAGAGCTAAGGGGCCCAGGAATGGCACAGAAGCTACAGTAAACATGAGGGATAAAAAAGGCAGGCACTGGGGGGACACAGGAGCAAGAGAATTAGGGACTGCCAGGACACCAGTGAAAACAGAATGGAAGGAGGTCACAGAGAAAAAAGAAGGGTGTAGGGGAATGTCTGGGCAAGAAACATTCCCTTATGGCCCCAGCAGTTGGTGCCTCCTATTGGTGGTAGTTCCTTCTCCAGGATCCTGTAAGCCAGGGGCTATGTCAGGAGCTAAGGACATGATGGCCGAGAAGAACTATGCACAGGACAAACAAGCAGGAGACGGGTATTTACTCAGCAAACATCTTGGAGCCTATTCTCCAAGGATGGAGGAGCCAGCTTTGGCAGCTGCTTTACTCTGAAGTCACTAGACAAGTTGGGCAGGTGGAAGGAATTCAGGGAGCACATAGGAGCTACTGTGCCTAAGACATGATCTCACTATGCTGGGCATCTGGGTACCCACCTCAACTAAGAGCCAATTCCAAAACGGGTATGACTGGGGCAAAAGTCAGGGTACTCTTGGACAGGAAGCAAGTTTGAATCCTGGATGTGCTATGTATTTTTTGGTGAGTCACTCAAACTTTCTGGCCCTCACAGGGAAAGTGGATAGAGTTGGATAGCTAAGATTTTTACAATATCCAAGTCTTACAGGTTTGACACCTGCACATTTGACAACATGTTTTTCACTGGCCTTTCCTACCCACCCACCATCATCAACCTCTTCTTCCTGATTCAGTCCCCAGTGCCCAATAGCAAGCACACTATGTTGAGGCTCCTTGAAGCGTTGGAGAGATTTAGCATGTAGGAAATAGGTTCCTAGTGTTCCAGGGGGGATTTCAAGGAAGGTTACTGGACCATAGAGACCCAAACTTAGTCTCTGGTTTCAGAGAGGCCCATCCGTCTATACTCTAATTAGGATGGCACTGCTGTGAAGGTGCTTCCCGAAGTTCCAACCCACCCCACTGATAAGAAGTGTCTGGTTCCTGCTGCTGCTCTGTATCCACAAACTTCTTGCATGTACCTAGAGATACCAGAGGAGGTCGCTCAATTAATCTTGGAAGCTAGAGACACTGCCCTGCTAAAGACCCATACCCTCACCAACCTCCTCATCCCACCTCAGATCTTGTTTTTTTGTTTTTTTGGTTTTTTGTTTTTTTTTTGAGACGGAGTTTCGCTCTTGTTCCCAGGCTGCAGTGCAATGGTACAATCTCGCTACAACCTCCACCTCCTGGGTTCAAGCAATTCTCCTACCTCCCCTCCCAAGTAACTGGGATTACAGGTGCCTGCCTCTACACCTAGCTAATTTTTGTTTTTTTAGTAGAGATGGGGTTTCATCATGTTAGCCAGTCTGGTCTCTAACTCCTGACCTCAGGTGATCCACCTACCTCAGCTTCCCAAACTGCTGGGATTAGAGGAGATGAAAAGGTAGCATTTCTCCCTTACAGCATCTTCTGACATGCTGCAGAAATCAGGAAAATAGAAATAAAGATTTCAGCTATCACCATGGAAACTGGCAGTCTCTATGGCTTCCCCTCATGCACACTCCCCATCAACTCTTTCCCTCCCACCTCTACATCACATAAGCTCATAAGATTTCTCTTTGTGGCCAACCCACCAATTCATTTGGAACAAAGAACAGAAAAATAGCTAGTTTGGAGAAAACAGCCTGACCCCTGGCTTTCTAACCACTCCCCTAGAGCTGAGGTTCCCTCCCAGATCATCATGTCCTCTTCTTCTCTCACACAGAGCCCCATCCCCATCTCATCATCCCTCTGGTGCCTTCTTCCTATGCTCATATAGTTCCCCCAGACAGAACTCTTGTCCTATTGGTCCCCAAATGTGGGTCCTTTAGCTTCAAAAGGCTTCAGTTCAGAACCCCCGCAGCCTCAGACTGCCATGCTCTGAATACAGCTGCCTTCATCCCCATCTAAACCCATTCTTCATGCCACTTGCATGCAGACCTACCATGTTCACAGTCTCAGAGCCTCTCATTCCCACCCAGGTACTCTCCATTCTTAATGTTCTCCAATTCAGGGTCCTCATCCCCTATCATTCTGCATATCCTCAAGCACTTCCTTATTAAAAGGAGTCTTTAAAAATACTGATATTTCCCATCATTCATTCCCCATTCTCACCCATCCCCCCACCAAGTCTTTATTCAATCTGCATATTGAATGTTTGAACACCTGTGCCCCCTTGAGAGAAGAGAGGGAGAAGGGAAATCTCTCTCAGTGCTCTCTTCTCCTTTCCCTCGTCCTGCTCCAGTGCCCAGTGGGGGCTGTGAGACTTAATTAGCCTTTCCAGATTACTCTAAGTTTCTTGAGGGAGGCTCCAAAGACTATTCTGTGCTGGGAGAAATTTTATCGGCGTCTTTTACGGCTTTGTTTGTTCTTCAATTTCTCCAGCTCGGACTCTTTATCCAAGTCTCTTCAGTCATAAAACAACCTCAAAAGGACAAACTGAAACCTAACTACCTAGAACCACCTTGATGCCTGCCCCTCACCCCACCCCGTGATTTGAAAAGGGGCCCCTGGATCCCTATGGTTGCCCCTTCAATCTCCCCTACCCACCCAACAAGCACCCATCCCAAAACATGGTATTCCACTGCCCCACCTCCCCTATCTGGGAAAATGGAAATAGAGGATGACTCAGGGGGTCAGGGAGGATCAAGGTTTGTTTACAGCTTTGAGATCTGTGGATGAAAAGTAAAAAGGGTGGGGAGTTGTGAAAAAATCAGGTGAAGCGTCTGGGGCTCAGAAGCAAATCACTGTCCACCCCACCCACCCACTTCCCAGACTGAGGTTCTTAGTCTTTCGTAAGTGTGTAAAACAGATTTGCACTGAAGCATGAGCACTTTAAGCTAGCCTGTACAGAACTGCCCAAGCCTTTGCTTCTTCTGTAGGGAGCTGAAAATTGAGAAGACAAACATGCGCGTAAGATAGCCTCCATCTATTTCAGCCAGATGATCTAAAATGTGTTCGTGTAAGTCCAGCCTATTACTGTTCTGGTCAAGATCTGGACTTCCGTAGAGAAAGGAAGACTTACAGAGGACTAAGAGTAAGATCTGTTATGTTTCTAGAGGGTTATTTAACCTTGTCTCTCAAGAACAAGACAATAAAGAGCTGGTAACAACACCAGAAGATGTTAAAGTGGCCCTATTGTATACTATCTCCTTCCCAAAGTTATCTTCAACTTCCAGTTTTCCCTCTCGACACTGTTTTCTCTCAATTATCTCATCCATTTCATGGCTTCAATTTTTACTTCTATGTGGGTGAGTTCTGAATCTGTTCTTCCAGAGCTGGGCACATTCCCTATAGTCTCCCACTTCCAGTGTATGATGAATGGGGGCTCCACAGCACCTTAAACCAACTTAATTTAAAATGTAATTTACACTCCCTTTGAAACCAGGCTCTCCTTCTAGCATCCTCTTTTTCTGTTAGCGGTACCACTATTCTACTAATAATCAAAGCTGAGAACCTCTACCCTCATCTTTGACTCCTCTTTATTTTCCCTTTTCTCCCATCTTACCCACCCTCCCCACCACTACTCCACCAAAGTCCATTAGTAACCAAGTTTTGTTCATCACGTTTTCACAATGTCGGTACTTCCATCCATGCATTTCTATTTGCATGCCATGGTCCTAGTTTAGTCTTTTAGCATTCATTATCTAAGCTTCTACATAAGCATCCTAATAGTTCTCCCTGCCTCTCATCTCTTTTCTAAGTTATCTGCCCACTAACTCAAGAAAGATCTCATTTAAGCAGTTTTTACATGTCTTTTCATCCCCTCTTCTAGAGCCTGCAGTTCTATTCATCTCTTTCAAAATAACTTTACATGAACCCTCTGTGCCAGATAAATGGGTCATTCATTGTTTCATTCATTGAACAAATACACATTGAACATCTAGCTACTATATATTTGGTATGCTAAGAAATCAAATGTGAAAATATATCATCCTGGACCTCAAAAAGTTTAGAGAAAGCTCTGTTTAGTGTGTGTAGAATACCTTTTGCTCTCTTGGTTCCATTTCGTTAATGTAGAATGTTCTGTCTATTCTCAAAATTTTCCTTAAAATCCTATCACTTCTATGAAGCTTTCTCTAGCCAGTCCATCACAATTCTCCCTCCCTTCCCAGAATTCCAATAGCACTTAATTGTGGTTACCACTCATAGGGCATTGTCTTACTGCCTGACTTGCAGTTTTCCAATGCCATACTTAAATATACTCTGTGTGTGTGTGTGTGTGTGTGTGTGTGTGTGTGTGCACCCAAATGATTTCAAGCATCTGGAGAGTAGGGACTGCCTTTCTCTGTTACTCATGGCATTTAATGTAGTGCCTTACATACATGATTATGCATGTAATGTGATTGAAGACACCATAGTGGCCAACTGAAGAAGGGAATTTCTGAAATAGAAATGCAGTATAGTGTCATGGAAAAAGCAATGATTCGGAAGTCAGAAAAAGTGAGTTTGCCTTCCTGCTCCACCAGTTGTTAGCTGAGACCTTAAATTCTGTGCCTAGTGTATAGGGTTTTTTTTTGTTTTGTTTTTTTATTTTTGTTTGTTTGTTTGTTTGTTTTGGGACAGAGTCTCTCTCTGTCACCCAGGCTGGAGTACAGTGGCATGATCTCAGCTCACTGCAACCTCTGCCTCCCGGGTTCAAGCGATTCTCCTGCCTCAACCTCCCAAGTAGCTGGGACTATAGGTGCCCACCACTATGCCCAGCTATTTTTGTATTTTTAGTGGAGATGGGTTTCACCATGTTGGCCAGGCTGGTCTTGAACTCCTGACCTCAGGTGATCCACCTGCCTCAGCCTCCCAAAGTGCTGGGATTACAGGTGTGAAACACCATGCCTGGCCGTGTATGGGTTTTTTTATGAGAATTTAACTTAATGAGAAAACACGTGGAAAGAGTAGACTAGTGCCTAGAACCTAGTAACTGCTCTATAAATACTCACCTCCTTCCTTTCAGTTTGGTTCTAGTAAGGCAGGTTGGGTATGATAACCTGCTACAGTTCGAATGTTTATTCCCGCCAAACCTCACATTGAAATTTGATCCCCAATGTTGGAGGTGGCACCTAATGGGAGGTATTTGGGTCATAGGGGTGGATCCCTCAGGAATGGATTCATGTCCTTCTGAGTAGGGGTGATAAGTGAGTTCTCATTCTTATTAGCTCTGACAAGAGCTGGTTGTTAAAAAGAGCCTGGCACTTCCCTCCCCTCTCTCTTGCTTCCTTTCTTGCCATGTGATCTCTGCACAAACTGGCTCCACTTCACTTTCTACCATGAGTGGTAGCAGGCTGAAGCCCTCACCAGGAGCAGATGTTGACATCAAGCTACTTATACAGCCTGCAGGGCATGAGCCAAATAAACTCCTTTTCTTTCTAAAGTTCCTTTATAACAACATAAATGGACTAACACAGGGGCCTTCCTACTTCAGCTTGTGTAGGCCCACAGGAACACAACTGAGAGAGAAACACTAACCTACTCAATCACTGCTGACTTTCTCTCCATCTTTATTCTTGAAACCCTCAGCATTTAGCCTACTTTATCACTTTTGTTATATCACAACTCCCCTTCTCTAGGAAGCTTCCCACTCTAGTTTCTCCCAGTAGTCCTAAACTCCAAGTCTGGAGAAATTATTTTCTCCATCCTCCATTCCTAGGCCTGACATCATCTTATTTACCTTTTCTGAATAAACTTTCTAGGGTATTAGGTCTAAGGATCTCAACACCCTAGCAAGGATCCCATTCTCTTCCTCAACCTTAACCACCACCTCTCCCAGCCCCTCACAGATATTGTGAAAAAGCTTGGGGACAGTGACCTGAGCAACACAGTGGCCAATGAAAGCCCAGGAAAGTCTAGCACCTCCACATGAAGTCTGAAGTAACTCAAGGGTCACCCAACCCAGAAGGAGAGTGAGTGTTAAAGTTTCTTTCCATTTTTATTTGGACCCAGGTAAAGATCTAAAAAATCAGACAAAACAGAAACACAAAGGGTTAAAATCCAGGAGTTCTGACCAGTGGAGTCATCCTGTCCCATCACTGTGACCACCAGCAGTGGCAACAGGTGTCTACTAGGGCTGCAAGAGCTCCTCTGGTAGAGAAGGGGGAAAGGCGAGGGGTGAGTCAGCACAGGCTGAAAACAGAGGGTTTTGTTCAAAGAGAAGTCTGTGATGCAAGCTCTAGGGAAACAATGTGTTCCTTGTTTCTTCACCCCCTCCCCACCCATCAGGCCTTCACCTCTCTGTTCTCCCCACACTCCAGTCAGATCATTGACCAAGTCTTTGGTAAGAATTAAGACAATAGAAGCAGCCTCCTAAGAGCTTCTGGTTTCCATCTATCCATTCTCTACTCAACAACCTTAACTTTCACCATCATCCTGACTTATCCCCTTGTGGGAGGCCAGCAATGGCTCACAATTATCCCTAATTTCATATCGCTATTCCTCAGCTTAAGTTTCAGAGCTTAACTTTATGCTATGATTCCACGATGCTCACTCTTTGCTTTCAGCAAAGAAAATCTGCTTCTCTTCTTTATGCCTCCAAAGACATAGACCTCTGACACATTCTTTTGTCTTTTTACCTATCCATTCCTTTCTTTCAAAAGGTCTATCTCTTTCTTTCTTTCAAAGCCTGCTCAGTATTCTCCTCCAGGAAGCCTTCCCTGTGTAATCCAAATTTCTAATTCCAACCCCACTTTTATACTATGTACTCTTAGTATCTGGTATCCAATGTACAATTTTATTTGTCTGCATTTCTCTGGCTCTGACTTGTATAGCCTGACTCCTTCTTAGACTAAGAGCTCCTCCTCCCCCTCAATAATATTTTAAGTGTTTTATGTTCAGAATCAAGCGTAAAAAGAGTCCAAGTTACAGAGTTATAAAAAACGGAGTGGGAAACCTGGGGAGGGACAAGGTGGGCAGTGATGGGCAGAAGATCACAAAGGTGGGAATGTGGGAGGTATATTTGATATAGGAGGCACCAGGACACAAGGGTACCATCATTAAATTTTTCTTCCTTGTTCATCTGCACATACTTCTGGGCTG